AGCCTCCCTAGGTGGATTTGCGGTTGTTGAAATGATACTGGGTTTTACTCCGTGGTCGATGAGTCGCTGAGCCAGGCGTTTAGCGCTGTTGTAGGTAACAGGGCCGGAAGCTAGGACATGCCCTTGAATCTGGGGTGACAACCCCCAAATGTACCTTTCAACCTTCTTTGATTCTGGGTTGACCATGGTAGGGCACAGTGCAGCGAGGTCGTTGAACCTAGCTGTGTAGGTGACTAGGTCAGACCCAGTCATTTTCAGATTCCAGAGCTCCTGCTCAAGCTTTTGCACTTCGCCCCTTGGGCAGTATTCTTCCAGTAGTAGAACCTTTAGATCGTCCCAACTCATGGCGTTGGCGACAGTGAGCGTCACTGAATTCACATGGCTTTTCCACCAAGTGAGGGCTCGATCTACGAAAGTGCAAGCAGCGAACTTGACTTTGCTTGCTTCTAGGCATGAGCAGATCTCGAAGACCGTTTCGGTCTTCTCGAACCATTGCATTAGTGCAATGACTCCCCAGTTCCATTAAAAGTTTTTGGCTTAGCGTTAGAGAACTCCTTGTAAGTACATTCTCTTCCTTGGCCATGACCAGTGCCATGATTTGGATGATTCGTGCTGCTTCCCGCCCCTCCATTTCCGTGGGAGTTTATTTGCGAGAGGGCTGCAGTTACTGCTGCTGTGATAGCAGCCTGGACCATGGCTGGATCATAAGCTGGTGGTGGAGGTGGTGGTGGTACCGTGCCCGGCCTGGGCCTTAGGTTTGGACGAGGAGGCATCGTGCTGCCAAAAGAAAAAATATGGAAAAATTTATAAGTTTTGGCAGTTCAGAGTTGAATGATATTGAGTTAACTTCTAATAGTTCTAAGAAGTTGGGTTTGACTGACACAATGTTTTGAGCTTGAAAGTAAAGTTTGAATAGATGTACCAATGAATCGAACGATTTGCGCATGATTAACAACAACAAGAAAAGGGGTATACCCTTATATATATTAAACATATAGTTGTGTTACAGCGGGGTCTAGACAAAATTTCTTGGCCTTTCTAAAGGCCTCCGATTACAGAACAATTTAAAGAAAATAATACTTTTATCCGAAGTCCTAATTTATAACAAAATTTGAGAGTTGGGCAAGTACTACTTGCGGTGCGCTTTGCGTTTGGAGCTCGACTCCGTGTCGGACTGCTTCGACTCCATGAGGCGTCTATCAAACGCAGCTTGTTGTTCTCTTAATTCTGCGAAGGCCGCATTTGCTTGTGCTTGAAACGCTTCGGCGCGAATGTGGATGTCGTTCTGCAACAACTCTAGGCGGTTGATATCGGCCGTGTGGATTTGTACTTCCACATTGACCTCTCGGATTCGGTTGGCTTGCACTCCGGATTGATAGCACTGGTTGGCGAGTTTGCCAACCATGACCGGAAGTGCTCGGTCGGCTGATCCCCCGCCTCTCACATCATAGAAGTCTCGGCACATGCCGTAAGGAGGGCGTAAGCTTTGTTGTTGGCTCCAATGATGGAGGTGACTTCCCCACACTGGAGTGGGTCCTTGGAAATTCCTCACGTGGACGGGAGATTGTGGGATTGGTGGATTTATAATTTCTGGCTCCGAATCCGTGCCAGAGTCATCCCCTCCCTCCAACTCTATAGGCTCTTCGTCTTCTTCAGGATCTTCTTCAATCCACCCTCCATTACCTTGGTTGGGGTAGTAGGGGTCATTGGGGTGATGGAATCCCGCCATTTAGACTGTACGAGAATAGAGTTAAAAGTTTACTATAAGCTAGAGCACATGAAACTTACCCTTAAGTTTAATGGTTGACGGCACTCGAATACTCCCTCAATATTCTTTAGCGATATGCTTTTGGTAAGTTTTAAATTTGTTGTCCATTACAGACACTCCTTGGCATACGTTAGTCGGCTCTTGGACAAATATAGTTGATCAGGCTATATTCTTCCCAGTTCCGATTACATGTCCCAAGGCGTACCTGTGCTGCACAACTTATTTATAATACTTCTAAAGTTATTTACTATGAAACTGTTATTAGTATAAAAATGAGTGCATGCTTACCTTAAAACTAATTAGGTTTACTTTCAAAAGTATGAATTTTCTCAGAGTGTTTTTGCCCAGTTGAGTTTATAGTTGTATATCAAAAAGGAATGGTTTTGATATACTTAATTCCCTATAAACAAAGCTCTGATACCAATCTGTCACACCCCCAAACCAGAACGGCGGAAACGTTCGGGGGCGGAGGACGTCATATTCAGTATCATAACAGTTCATAGAAAGGAAAGTACACACCACCATATATATTAAAGTTTCCAAGATGTTTACATAATTGTATTCATTACATGTTCAAAAGATAAATACATAAACATCATCAAAAGAAGTAATTAACGCCAGCGCGTTAATCCCAAAAGTTGATTCCCAAACCTGCTTAGCGGTTCCCTGAGAATACAAGTTATTTCAAAGAAAAAGTGTCAACAATTAAGTTGGTGAGTTCATAAGTAGTTTAGAAAAATTGGATGCCATTCCAAAATGGGTGTATATTTTCCAGAAAACGCAGCATTTCAAATGTAAAGAGTTGTGATTTGTTGTGTTGAAAGTGAATGTATTAGATCCAGAAAATCCCATATTTTCCCTAATGGTTGAGATACGAGTTGTTGTGTTTTCCAAGAAAAACCCTTATTTTCTTATAAAAGTATGAAATGCATATAAATGTTCGTGTTATAAGTTGTAAATAATTGCACCAGGAAAATCCCTTATTTTCCTATTAGTTGTTTGGTTTGTATGCAGGAGAAACCCTTATTTTCCTAACATAAATGGCAGTCTCTAAGACCGAAAATCGCAAGAAACCGACGTTCTCAAAAGTTGTGTCATAGTTTTATATAGTAAAACTATACGAAGATCGCATTTATTAGATGAAGAATAGTTTTAATAGCTACTCGTTCATAAAAGCATAATACCATAATAATTGTATATCCGATGAGTTTTATAACCATACTAAACATAATATGCCTGTAACGACGTTCTTCAGGCGTCGCAGCGTTATGACAACTGTCACCCCAAAAGACGGACTGTAGCTAACAGTCAGGGCGCGGGATCATGACTTCCCGTATAGATCTATACACATTTGACACGTTCTCCGAACGGGAGACTCTGGTTATAGACAGGACTTGCAGCATTACTTTCTAATAAAGAAAAGTAACGTTTGAAGATATACACGTCTCATGGATTCTCAACTAAGCCCGTATTAAAGTGATAGTTTTCTATGCAAAGTTTATCCTTTTTCACAATGTTTGACAAAGCAAAATCATAAGTTTTTAGAATGTATAAAACGACTTAACAATGAAAGTTACTTTGAAATCATTATATACTTTGTATAATGTCTAATGCACGCAAAGTATGACAAGAGTTTTCCATAATAGTAATGAGTTCCAAGTGATTTATTCGATAAAACAAGTGAAGTGAAACTTTATAAAATACACGATAATAACCGTATGTTTACTTGTATTCCCCCCTAAAAGAGTATAAAAGCATTTAAAATGTATTTAAAGTGTGTTTGAAAGGGGTATGAACTCACTTGAAAGTTTGAAGATAGCAAGATGGAAAACCGGGCAGAGTTTCGTCTCGGGAAATGGATTTTCCTCGGAAATCTCGGGATTCCTCGGGAGAAAAATCGACCTTCGGGACTTGCACAAAATGACCAGGGCTTCGAGCACGGAAAACGAGGTAAAACGCAAAAAAGGAGAGAGAATGGGCATTTTCCCGGGAACCTCGCATGCTATTTATAGGGGGCCTGAGAGGCCTCGTACGCGGGGCGTACGCTCGTACGCAGCGCGTACGCGTACGTCATGCGTGACCGAAGCCTCGACT